CTGTATAATACTTTACATTTAGTTACTGTTATCGTACTTTTTATCTTCTCTTTGGTCTGTATATAAAGTTATATTTTTGTATATATATTCAGCCCTCGTTGTATATTCTAACCCCCTATTGTAAATATTCATTATATTTTCTATTTTCGTACAAATTTTTCATTCTTAGCTTAGTAGATAGGCTCGCAGCCTTTTTGTTTCGGTTTTGGCGCTTTCAATAAACCCTTGGTTTTCTTAATGCCACGGTTCTTTCCAAGGGTAGAGTATTGTGCGAACCGAGTGGCTCTTCCCGATGATGGATGGCGTGACAACCTTTTTAAGGGTTTGAGTCCGTTTTTGATTTTTCCCTCGTTTTTAGTAGTTTATAGTTAAGGGTACCTCAAACAAAGCTTCACTTGGGCCTAACACATTTGCCTTTGATCTCATGGTCAAAGACAAGTGGTTGTGTTTAGGATGGTGAAAGTAGTGACCTTGAGGCTCTTGTTTTTGACCAAACAAACATCATGTGGTCTTTCGGGACTATTGTGTGCTCAATCGTGTCTAAGGTTGTTGTGGGCCCCCGACTCTATGTCTTTAGCAATCCTTGAGTGTGTGTGGTGAGAAATTGAATTGTGAGTCCAAGTCCCGAGTCAATGGTCTAGAACTTCCCCTGAATGTTTGTTAAGGCAAAATTTTGAGTGAAATTCGATTTAAGAAGTGATTATAGGCTCTCCTTGATCCAAATAATAGTCGAACAATTTCATATCTTACCAATGATATAATCCTTAGCTAACCCTTCTGAGCCTTAAACCTTTTTCTTTCAAGAACCAATCCTACAAGCCTATACCCATTCTAATATACCCTCTCTTGGCACCCAAATCGTCCCTTAAGTAATGGCAAAAGTCTAAGTTTGGGGGGAGGGGGGAGACAGGAAAGGAAACAAAGTGGTAAAAGGAACAAAAGCAAAAGGAAAGGAAGACGATGAAAAAGATAAAAAGAAAGCCCAATGTGCAAAGAATAAAACGGGATTCAAGTAAAACAAAAGTGAAAAGGGTGTGAAAAAAAAGTAAAAAAAGGAGAAATGCTTTGAATTGCATAAGAAAGAGTGACAATGTGTCTCTCTAACCCCTTGAAAAGAAGTGAAATACTCAAAGAGTCAAAGAGAATTGTGCCAGAATAAATCAAAAGAAGTGCTTAAGGGAAGATGGAACCCATATAGACCAACAACTTTTCCTACCCTGAACCAAAAGCCTTCACATTGACTCCACAAAAGCCCTATATGATCTTGAGTTGGATGACGCTTGCATTAGTGGATACTTACATGAGGGTCAAGCATATGGTACTTAGAGCCAGACTTGTGACCTTTCCTTGAGAGAGACGAGTGACTTCCCATTAACCTTGGTTTGCGTGCTTATATTCTAAAAAGGTGAGGTTTGCTTAGGGAGAGTTGAGGATGTATGAGTTTGGGATCTACAGCGACCAAAGTAATTGAGAGAGTTCTTTGATGTAATGAGTCAATTCTTGATGCTCTTGTGTCACNTACTTAGAGACGGACTTGTGACCTTTCCTTGAGAGAGACGAGTGACTTCCCATTAACCTTGGTTTGCGTGCTTATATTCTAAAAAGGTGAGGTTTGCTTAGGGAGAGTTGAGGATGTATGAGTTTGGGATCTACAGCGACCAAAGTAATTGAGAGAGTTCTTTGATGTAATGAGTCAATTCTTGATGCTCTTGTGTCACACTTGATCCATAGTTTTTCAAAGTTTAAATTTTGTTAATGATCCATTCATATTGAGGGCAATTGTTAGTCCCAATTGATGCTTGTTGAGGTTACTTTAGAACAGCTGGAATTACTTGGATTTTCCTTTAAGGGATGGGTTTTATTTTGTGCGCTTGAGGACAAGCAAAAGTTTAAGTTTGGGGGAGTTGATAAGTTAGGATTTTAACATGTTTTATGCCCCTACTTGCCTATGATTTGATCATATATTGTCACAAAATAGTCTTAAAAGGCTCACAAGTTGTGCTTGATCGCAGGTTTGATCGACAAAGTGACGAAATGTCAAAGATCGGCTCAAAAAGGAGTGAAACCTGCTCAAATATCAAAAACCAAGAAATTTAAGAAAAGAAGGCCTAGTGCGGACCGTGCAAAGTGGAATGCGGCCGCACTAGGTGGTTCAGAGAGTTGGTGAATCAGGCTAGAATAAGCTCGGCCGCGGTACACATCTCGTGGCCTGCAGTGAAGGCTCCACAGCCGCACTACTCTTTTGTGCGGTCCGCGGTCATGGGATTTAGAGAGATGAAGTTTGCAAAGCCAGTGCCATGCGGTCTGCGGTCGTGGTTGCGCAGACCGCGCCAGCTCCCTCCGCGACCGCGGTCCGTTCTACGCGGTCTGCGGAGTCCAAGTTCAGAGAAGCAGAAGTAAGCCCAGTGCGGCCGCGGTCCATTTAATGCGGCCTGCACTGACCCCGCAGGGGNGGGTATTTTTGTCCAGTTTTTCCAGCCTAGTATAAATAGAACATTTTACCATTTTTTAGGTAATCAGAGACAACAGTAGAGAGTTGCGCTCGTGAGAACGTATTTTGTAGCCATTTTTGGCACTTTTGCTTTACATTTACGATAGATTCTTGCAATTTAATTTTAGCAATTAATTAATATGCTTAGTTCTTCATCTATTTCTTCAATTTCTTTATCTAGCATGAGTAGCTAAACCCATTAGCTAGGGTTGTGGCTCAACCCTAGTGTGGGTAATTGATGGGTGTTGCCATCTAGTGTTAGATTGACTATGGGTGTTTGCTATTTGGGTTGATTTTATGTTTTAATCTAGAATTGGTGGTTGCAAACACTGATTCAAGCTTTGCAGGTTTAACTCTTCTTGAGAAAGAGAGTCTATGACCCCAAAATTGACCCAACAAGGAATTGGGATGGACTCATGAGAAATGATAGTCCCAATTAACGGGTTAAACCTCAAGAGAGTAATTACCCTACTTGAACCCTAGTTGCTTGGTCTAATTTGCCTACCCATTTGGTCTCGAGAGAGTCAATTGGGCAAAGTCACTTTCTCTACCGAGAGGTGTGAGAGTGGGTAAAATTGTGCAACGGTTATAGCATAAGCCCCAATTATGTCAATCGAACCTTAGTAACATCTACCCGTCAATTAGACACCTAGGTAGTGTTACGACCCTAGTGCCCGACTTCCCATTAGATACAACTTAGCAATATTCTCGTAGCATAATTTAGTGTTAATCAATAGTTTTACAAAAATAGTTATAATTTGAAAACCCAAAAATGTTTGAAGTGACATTAGGAGTACAAACACATCTCTAGGATAGACAGACAATCCAACTCCTCTACTAACTCCCTGAGGAATTCGATCCCGACCCTCATATCGGGTAAAAGTTATTGCGACCTGATCTTCCTACCTTAGTGTAGCGTCGAGTTGGTTTGATCAGTTGCCATAACAGACCCTAGAGGAAGGATTTTTAATCAACAAGTGGAATATGAATGGAAACCTCAATTTTGCAAGAAGTGTGTCAATTTTGGGCATTTCTGCAAAGAGGAAGAGAATAGACCAATATTGCAACACAACAGGAAGGGGCAAGGACAAAAGCAAGGGCAAAAAATAGATCAAAATAGAGGTGGCAGGGTAGCAAAAACCAGGAAGAAATATTCAACAGAGACATCAGAGAATCCTGGAGCCAACTGTCCAAGAGCAAGGAAATACAAGGAAGAAGGTAACTAATACAGAGCAATTAAGTAGTCTTACAACCAGAGCAGATCCAGGATTCGAAGGTTGCGGGTGCTACCACGTTATACATATAGTATACATGCCACTAGCTACAAAGACATATTAGGAATAATGGGCCGGTTCAATTAATTTTTGGTTAATTCGAATAGGCCTATCATTCACTATGCAAATAAGTTCGATTTTAGTTCAGTTTTTCTACGCTTAATTTAAATACGTTCTAAAATAAAAAAAGCAAAAGAAAAATAACATTTCATGAAAAAGCGCCTCCAATATTAAAATTTACTTAAAAAGTAGTTCAACTCAGTTCCAGCATAATATGCTGGAATTCGAATTTTTTATATATGAAATTCCAGCATAATGTGCTGGAATTTCATGATATGCTGGAGTTCCTATATAATATATTGAAAGTTTATACGCATGAGCTCCATAAGCCAACATATTATGCTGGAACTTTTTGTGTGCTGGAGTTCCAACATAATATGCTAGAAGCTTATATACACGACCTCTATAATCTAGCATATTATGCTGAATTTTTCGTGTATCAGCAAAATAGTGACTATTTTTCAATAACTTTACAAACACTGGCTATTTTTAATTACCGGTCCGTAACATGGTTAGCATTCCCCCTAAACCAATGGCAGTCGTGTCTACTTTGTGATTCTTGGGTGCCACCCTATTTATATAGGTTTTTTTCATCGGATATTATATACACAGTAAGAATTTTAGTGAAGGAAGCGGGTGGCATGGCACCCCTACGGCCCTACCTCATAAGGTAGATCCGCCCCTGCCTACAACTGCCCCCTCCTCACCAGGACAGAGTCATAGGCCTTTGGTGACATAGTTTTCAAGCCAGACTATAATTCCTTTGAAAGCACCTGTGAGAGTCCTGAATGCTTTCTCACCTTAGGCTGAGGGGAAGCCCTATAAACTTGTTGCAGATGGTTCCCAACCTTCCAATCAAAAAATTTCTTCATGCTTTATCCACAAGAAAAAAGCATGACGAAAAAAAAAAAAAAAGAGGAAGACTGCTTTCTTTTTTTTTATTTGTTTGTTCCAACGTTTCAGTGGAATAAAAGATTTTGGGGGCAAATAATAATGATATAAATCATAATATTTGAAGAATTAGTACAGCAAAAAGCACAAAATGTCAACCAAGATTTGGGTGTTAGCAATAACTCACGTATAGTGAGTTAAAAATCTCCCAGCCTTGAGCATTCCCTATGCCATGCTTAAAAGCATATGAAAAAGAAATAGAAGAAGCATTTGTAAGAAAGTAATTGTTTCTAAAAATATATCCCCAGCTTTATTTTGAATATGTGAAAAAATGTTTTGTATAAATAATCTGTAGGAATTTAGCTAATTAATTTGTGTAATGCCAACACAAACCGGACATTCTACATAACTATATCAGCTTTCTTCTTTTTAGGAGAATTAACCAATTTCAAACGTTGAAGCCTTCAGCTCGAAGGCATATACGATGAGCCTCAATCCATTTCTCACAAGCAGATTCGCCATGTTCCACAATGCATTCATCCCTCAGTTTCTTCGTCTCTGGGCAAGCACAACAAATCTTCTTCTTTGGCTTTTTATCTGCAGGGACTGTAGAGGGAGCTGACTTTTCATCTTTTGGAAGTTGCGACAAAGATATTGCCATTGAAGTGCTCTCTATTGGTAGTCCACCCATGCTCAAAAAAAAAAAAAAACTGCAAGAGTCAGGAAACAAAAGTTTGATGATGGCTGTCCGATTAGCATTTTAATATAGGCTCATAAATCAACCAATATATACAAAAATCAAAGCATATTAATAGAACAAGCCTTCCAAAAGACAACTTTAAAAATTGTAAACTTCCACCACAAAAAGAAATTACATATTGTGCAACTCCCCTATCGTGTATAACTTTGAATGTACATCGATTATAAGAGATAAGTACACCAAAAAGCAAGTAAAGCAATACATGTGTTTAAGGCCGAGTATATCTATTCTTTTGCCAACAAAATTTCTACTGTTACTTTCAAGTCAAGGAGTCCACCTTATGACTTGTGGAATGGTGTTTCAAGTCTTCAGAGACTTCTAGTTCAGTCCCTTTCTTTTCCTGCGATGCAGTAAACAAAGCTAACTGTCTAAAGTACTGATCACCTTTAAAATTATAACTTTGTCAATCAAATAAGTTACCCTACCAATTATCATTTAAAATTAAATTTTCCACTATCACACTTTAAACTGATCAAACTTCTAACAACTCGTGATCAATTGAGAATAAGAAGTGCTGATGAAATCCGACTTCAAATGTCTAACCACTGTGGCACCACCCATAAGAAGAGAACATGTACGAGAGGAGAATACAAAGCCGTTACAAGAATTTTACCATCTTCTGAAAATTTTCTTTCTTTTTATTTTCCACAAAGGGGAAGCACTAGAGTCTAGAATACCCTCTGCAATATCTTACTGCATTTCGCTCATCCTTTAATTATAAAAAGGAAAACACATCGTACTATTTTTTATTAGATCAAGATGAAAATTACATACTATGTTATCTCCACATAATAGACCCAGCCCTAGTTATGATTTTACTTTTGCATTCCAGCAATCATAACTAGAGAAAATTTCTTAGTATCAACACACGCTCTTTCCTTGAGCTGAGGGTCTATCAGAAACATCCTCTCTACCCTCACAAGGTAGAAGTAAGGTCTGCGTAGTTATGATTATATTTTTGCATTCCAACAATTATAACTAGAGAAAATTTCTTAGTATCAACACGCGCTCTTTCCTCGAGCCGAGGGTCCGTTGGAAACAGCCTCTCTACCCTCACAAGTAGGGGTAAGATTTGTGTCCACTCTACCCTCCCCAAACTTCACTTGTGGGATTATACTGGTTTTTTTGTTGTTGTTGTTGTATCAACACGTGCTCTAGTAGTTCCAAGCAATTTCAATATAAAAGGCTCTCATATGACAAAATTCTTCTTTATATCCCCTCCTTATTTGACACCCTTCCCCAGCTAATATCTTTAGAATGAAAGGCAAAGACACTTCTTTATNCCCCCCACACACACACACACAAATTCGTTCTTGTAAACATAGCCAAAGGAGGCTTTTTCTCATAAGACCTAGATTTTTGGCAACTACATAAATAAAAGAGTATATCAACTTACGGTTGAGGGTGCGAGGTAACAAGGGATAGCCTTGTTTTTTTTTTCTTTTTGATGAGGGATGGCCTTGTGTTTAGCACCCTCTACATTGGACCACGAGTAAGGGGGTTCAAGACACTAAAGGATTAAAGTCGTTAAAGCTGCTGCTGGGTTCCCAAGCAGGGTGTGGTTTGGCGGTGGGTTTATCATATCAAATAACTAAAAAATAACACACAAAAAAACACTAGGTGATTTTTTTATATTTGTCTAAGCCTTGAGAGATAGTAACTCAATATCTACGCTGGTGGGAGGTGGCAAATAACCGATGGAATAGTCAAGGTGTAGGCCTAAATACCACAATCATTCTTTTAAAAAAAAATGAAAAAAAGGGAACACAAGCTAAATTATTCTATGTATGATATGAAAAACTAGCTAAGAATGCAAATGCAAATTCCAGATGTGTCACTTCTCTGTTCAATTAAGTAATTGTCATAAACCAAAGCAAACTGGTAAAAAGCCCATAAGTGCATACATGACAAATGATTAACATAAACAAAGATGTATTAATACGAAACAAGCACCTTTAATTATAGAAAATGATTTGAATTCATAAATTCTGAAAACTTCAATTGTCACAAAGTACCTCAAATGAGAATTCAGAACATAAGAAACAAAAAAGAATCAATAAGAAAATATTTTACTATTGGAATTTTATACGTCGTGAAAGCTCAAATAAACATCTAAATTTAAGTTCTTTCAACTCGGCAGAGTTGGGTAAAATACAGAAAATCCTAATATCAAAATCGGCGGGGGTTTACACGTGTGGCCTACGAAAATTTTATTCTTTGAAGAAAAAAAAACATGGAAAAGAAGAATAATTGAAAAATTTTAATCATCAAAATACAGCAAAAATTTCAGATTTCAAAGTACATACCTTTGATTCCTTTGTTCTTGTCAGCAAGACAGGGTTTTTGGGAGGTTTATGTGGACAAATTCCTGGTTACGTTTTACAACAGTGGCTGCTTTTATTAGCCTCGACTTTCTATGAAATGTCAAAGCAGCCCCTAAAGGTTCAAACTAGACGATTTGCCCCCTACTTCACACTTTTTATTTATTGATTTTTTTTTTTTTTTTTTTTTTTTTTTTTTTTTTTTGGTGTTGTGTAATTAATTAGATGGATTAGGAAAAATGTAACTTTTTGGAAATCAACGAAGAATTCGAGTTACCACTGATCATAATAGGTAGACATGTGTTTTTGGTTTAACTTAAGTGTTGCAGTAATTTTATTCTCTTGAACAGTAAAGTATTTATAACAAAATAATGAGGAATTTCTGATATTCAAATAGTGATAGTGATAAAAGCTTGTGCATAAAGCAAATGTTTTAATTATTTTTAAGATTTTGTGAATACTGTGAGTGGAATAAGAACTTTTCTTTAATAAACAGCCAAACCATTTTTTCCAAAAAAATTAAAAAAAATTATATATTATTCTATTTTACTTACTTTTGTATTCCAAAAACTTCTTGAGACAAGTTAAGCAAACACATTTGAGTATGCTCTTTCGCAGAAAATGTGGGGGAGAATTCAAAGCTCTAATCATAAGTTTAAACTTAATTAAGATCACAACAAGACATTATATCTTCTTTTTTTCAGCATAATATAATAACATAACATTATGCCTGAAAAATAAAGATAGTGTCAACTAGACATGCCAATATCTTACATATATCTGTCAAACATATTTTACCTTTAATCTATAAGTTGACAATAGAATTGCTACCATGGGTGGAGGTAGAAGTCTGAATATAGGTTCGGCCGAACTCAATAACTTAATACTTAAATAATATATTTGTATTAAATATGTACAAATATTAAATTTAAAATCTAGCTCTTATTATTTAAAATTGTCGTCTAAAATCCAAAATACATAAAAATTAAAATCGTGATTCCGCTCTATTGCTAAAGAAATTTAGAAGCAAGCATATATAGCATCAATTTAGTTGACAAACTACAATCATCTAGAATACCTAAAGGGTCCACACGTATTTTGCATATAGAAACCACATCAGATTGCAGTCTACTTCTTTCCTTTTCTTGGACAACTATTTCAATGTATTATGGATAGAACATAAAAATCAACCAATGCTTTATAACATTGAAAATGTAACTGTGAAATAAGTTTACCTTCTACTAATTAACTGACAGCTAAATACATATTTTCAGGTGTTGATCCTAGCAATTTACTGGCCCTTTCACTCCCATGACTAAATACATATGATATACCTCATTGCTATAAAACATCATTAAGATTCCACAAGTTAAAGGCCACAAAAGAATGAAGCATACACAATAGGAAAAAAACCAGATGACCCCATTGAGGAAAACTCTATAAAGCTTCAATCTTTAAGCATGTAACAAACGATCATTACTTTGGATCCAATACACAAATAGGTACTCAACAGGTAAAAAGGGGTGAAGAAAGGAATATGGGAAAGGCTTTAGTATATAGAGAGCGTTTCAGAATTCAAGTGAACAACTAATGTGGCAACTTTAGTACACCTAATTTGACACTTAAACAAACAAAAAAGAACGTTTGTCACTAACTTCTCTTATTCAGCTTTCTCTATTTATTTTCAGATTTCATTTCTTTCTTTTTTGTAATAAAGGTTGATTAGTATTCGCCCTGACATGGACACTAATGTGTCAAATACGAAACGGATGCGAAACATGAATTATTTTTCTAAATTGGGACATAATTTTATGGAAAAAAATCCCTATATTTTATACATCCCCTCGTTTGGTTAGACGCATTTCCTAATACGAAGTTCAACTCGTTTGGTTGAACGCGTTCTGATCCTTATATTGCATTTGCGCATACAAAGTTATTAAATAGGGAAATAATTTCTATACATCCCCTGTCCATTTCGGAGCCCAATTAAAGGATGTCCAATCTCAACAACAACGACAACAACAACCCAGTATAATCCCACTTAGTGGGGTCTGGGGAGGGTAGTGTGTATGCAGACCTTGCCCCTACCCTTGGGTAGAGATGTCCAATCTCAAGGATTGTGATATTGTTGTATAGGTCAAAACCGTAAAAATTGCACGGGGTGCCTTATTTGGTCGCCCCCATTAACCTATACCCATTTTTTTAAAAGCTTTTAACTTGTACCCACTTTTGAAACAACTTCAGCCTCCTTTCTCCCGGTGATCTCCATATCACTGGTTTTCACGAATTGAACCTTAGTGGTTTTCATTACTTGAGCATTTTATATAAACATTTGTTCATAATGAACGTACTTTGTTACTGAAAAGTACTGTTATTATTAAATACAGAAGTTGTTCTTTTTTTATTTTTCCTTTTGCTGCTGGTTTAGTGACTGAATGATGTGATGCCAACAAGCATTCATCTTTATATTTTGGAATACCAAATAAATGGATTGTCAGATACCAAACAAAATAGAGCAAATTCAAGCAGAACCATAGTGCATCTCCATCGTCGAGATGCTATGGTCAAGCAGAACCATAGTGCGTTCCTCGACGTTTCGATCCAGAATAAATCAATGAAGCCATCTCCATACTTAGAATATGGAATTTGAAAGGTCAATCTTCCTCCCCCAAAAATAGAAACTTCAGCTATACATACTCAAGGGTTTTAAAAATTTCAGCTCTAGAGCTGAACTTCGCTAGTTACAAATAAAAACTTCAGCTCTAGAACTGAAGTTCGACAGTTACAAAATAAAACTTCAGCTCTAGAGGCGAAGTTCGCCAGTTACAAACAAAAACTTCAACTCTAGAGCTGAAGTTCGCCAGTTACAAAACAAAAACTTCAGCTCTAGAACTGAACTTCAAGCCCGACTACTAGAATGCTGAAGTTTTGCGTGATTGCCTTTGCTACTCCAGCCCCGTATGCTGAAGTTATGCGAAAAAGCGGGTACGCTTGCAATTTTTTTTGCAAAGCAGGCATAAGTTAAAACGTGACACAAAAACTGGTATAGATGCAAATTCCCCGTCAAAACCTGCCCCAAGGGATTTAGCGTGAAGTGGTATTATGGAAAGCGATGTGGCCGAGATCGACTAGTAAACAAGGGGGGTCGAAACCGGGCGTTCAATAAGGGCCGAGGAAGTATCAAGGCCGATACTAACGACTAGTTTTTGTAATAGGATATTTAAAAGAATATTCCATTGAATATTCTCTGTACTTGTTCTTTTAGAGTTGACTTGGATATGTCTCATATAAATAGAAAAAGAGATAAGGGGAAAGGGCATTTAACATTCATTTGGATAAGAATACTTTTTGAGAAGAAGACTCTCTCTAGAAAAGATACAAATACTACCTTTCTAATAAGATTCTACCATCCATTATTCCATACTTTTCCATCAGATCCGAGAATAGTTCCAATATTCTAGGATTTGTCTGTCACTCATCACTGCCAGAAAGAAGAATCATCCACCTCATTCAATATTGGGTGAATCATTCTCCCTATTTATATTAACATCATTTATTGTTATTTATTGCTTGATATTCTCTTATCATTACTCAAACCTCTCGGAATATTGAATACACACTGCATTTAACCCCCTCCCCCCCCTCACCTACACTATCTTGCAATATTTGTGTTAACTAGTTATAAATCTAGGAATATTATTATTAACTTGGTTTAACCCTTGTTACATAAAATTAATTAGTTTAACCAAAGATTTATACTTTTTGGTCAAACAATTGTGAATTTAAATACTCTGTAAAGAAATATAGCCAAATTGATGGTGTTGAAATCATGTCCAACCGGTGCCATATGATTGTCATAGTACCATACGCTTATGCGTCCAATATCCAAGCATACATATCACGTTCGTGACTTCGTGCTACCGAGAAATCCAGCACCAAAAGTTGGTCTTCACTTTGCCGTGTTGCTAGCAGAAAATATGATTAGCTATAAAACAAGAATCAACCAACCTATTATTTCAATTAGTGATATCTACAATGTAAATTGAATTGATATTCACAACTTTCAAAAAAAGCAAAACCAATTTCTTTCTTTGCGCATTTGACAAGTACCTATCAAAATTGTCCTAACCTTGCTGAACAATAAGCAACAAATAGGTTGAAAAAAGAGAACAGATTCTTTTTCCTTTTGCAGCAAAAGAGGAATGGCCGCAAGGGGAGCAAGAAAATCAAAAAGTGCTGCCTCCCCTACTCCCATAACCAACTTTGCGATGTCGTCTTGAATTAGACTTCCTTTCACCTCTTCCACGCTTTGGATTTCTTCTAACTGGAGATTTAATAGAAAAATGATCACGAACCAACGCGGGTGGAGGATGAACTCTCACAACTGTCATGTGAGCCCTTTGCTCCAGTAAATCTCTATGGTATGCCTGTAAAGATTTGGTATAAACACTCCTATACTATGAGAAAGTAGAGGATGTAATACGCAGGAAAAATTAAGGCAAATATTAGCTAACCATAAAAAGTGGAAAGGTAATATCCAACTTTCCCCAGCTTTAGAATAAAAATACTGTTCATTTTCTCCGACCAAAGAAATATTCCCATACCTTTAATATTGAGTCCATGTATATCTTCATCTATGACTCATTTTCTGCATCTATGAGTCCAAAATTCACGATTTTTTTTCTTTTCCTTTTTCCTAATGGGTAAGATCCACCACAAACCCCTGCCCATGAGTCAATACTAGTCCTTTGCTTTGTGTAGGAGTCTAACATTCCTCAGCACATTATGATCCACATTCTAGGTATTTGGAAGTCAACTGACCACCTAACAATTGCAGAGAATTCTTGACATGTGTAAACAATTTGAGTTACAGACTCCCTCAAGATTTATGTAGGCAAAATAACCTACTTTTTTTTTTATCAGGAGGCAAAATTACCTACTTCCCTCAATATAAAACAAAAGTTCATCATCTCCCACCTCTTTTCCATTGGGGCATGTTGTTATAACAAAAAAATGTGTAGAGATGTGTACAGATCTGAGAAGGGCAGCCATAAAATCGAAAGAAACGCACACAAAGTAATTTGGAACAGTTCTCACAGAAAAATCCTACATCCAAGGAAATATTTTGGGCCAGTAGAAACTATAAATGGATCATATGATAAAACAACATATGCATATGGTTCTCCATCTTTGCTGAAGAGAAAGGAAAGGCAAATAAAAAGCAAATGAAAAGAGAGAAGGGAAGAAATATTTTTTAGATTTTGTATGGAGTAAGGAAGATGTTCTGCTGTGGATACCTGTATCACAAAATTTCGCCTCTCACAATCCAAAAACATGTTGATGTTCCAGCTAACCTTTGCCATCAATTTGTCCCTAACAGTGGAAAAGCTCAACTGGTCCCTTGAGGTAAAACGATCAACCTCATTGAACCACAGACAGGTGAAAAGATTTGTGATGGGAATATGTTCCTTTATGATAACACATCCTTCAGGAACATCTGAAAAAAGTTTGCTAAGTTAATTACATTTTGAGAGCGAGTGGGCAAATGAACATAAGGTGTACAGGGACCCACCACTAGTAATAGGAAGCTTAGCCTCCGAATATGCAGTTAAACCTTCTTTCCTGTAGAAGCCAATTTGGTGGTCAATGGATACATTATCATACTTCCCAGCAGCTTTATTAGCTTCAGCTTCTTCAAAGACGTCAAACCGTCTATAATGTCTTGAAATTGCAAAAGTAGCATTCTGGCGCCACAAGAATCTGAGGTAAGGAATAGAAAAGAAGAAACTCATGAAACTGCCAAGTAGAGATGAGAAACTAGAAGGTATAAACCAACAAAAAGAATGAATGACTTGTTCTGCAGGCAGAAGGATGCAAGAGGGAACAAAACCAAATGTACCTCTCAAGAATCTGGTAAGGATCCACAACAAGCTGAAGCTTCCCATCTATCCAAATTGAATAGCGGACATTAGGAAAGAGCCTATGTAGTAGGAGCTTAGGTACCTGCCAGAGATACATCTCTTTTAAGCAAATTCATAAATCACATGTTCTTTAAAATCCAAACTTAACAGTTGAAAAAGTTTCTGAAAATATAATCCATGAAAGAAAGATACAATGGTGTCAAATCACATTGATATCTAATTCACATGTTCTTTAAAATCCAAACTTTATTGATGAAATATTTTTGAAAATATAATCCATGAAAGAAAAAAAATACAACGATCTCAAATCACATTGATATCAGATGAATGATAATGGTTATATCGTATATTCTATTACATCTCGGAATGTTGGTTTTTCTCATTACTTTGTGGAACAAAGATTAAACTATTACAGCAACAGGGGATCGATCAAAAGAGCGAATCCCTCAATCTGCTAACACTCATTTCAAGTTAGAAACTTCAGTAGGTGACAAATAGAAGGATGTGCACTGAGAGGCGTAAAAATTTAGCTCAACCGTTAATATGGTGCTAACAACAAAATCCATAATAGATACTTTATTTTACTAAAAGGTAAAAGCAGTACATGACTACCCAAGTTCATTGCTTTTTTGTGGGGTTTCTTACAAACAGAATGGTCAGAATTTAGTGCTTTTCGTGACTAGACGCAAGATCAAGCAATGTGCACCATGCAGGAGAAACTGGAATGAGATATCTCCCCATCATTCGTATCCTACTTTCTTCTCATTCTAGCATTCTCCTTCTCCGTTCTTCTCCTTCTAAATGGTATCGGAGATAGTAGATACATTCTCTCTGATAACTGTTTTATATTTAAGAAAAGATTTCAGTAAAGTTCACCGAACCGCAAAAATCAAATATGGCCATCATTTCCCCATTAGAAGAGCATTCTCTCACGCCTCACAGCCACCCTATTTCCAAAGTACATCATCAATGACAACGAGCGGTAAAGTACATGCTGAATCTTCTCAAATTACTGCTGACATCATGCGGCTACACGTGGCACATCTCCGGCCAACATCTTCCATCGACGATCACTCCACAGGGTTGCCTGAGTCTCCCAAACCCCTATTGTTCATCATCTCCTTGAGAATCTCCTCAGATCAAATTCAAATTACTCAAACAGTGACCTGGGGCTCAACTTCTCCAGGTTTTACCCATTTCACTCGCTTAGGCGAAAATTCAGTAGAATTTAGTTATCACCTTTGGAGTTCCTAGGACTCTGTTACATTGATATGGGACAATTACTGTTTTTGCTTTGCCCTTTCCCTCTCTGTTCATGACTGTATTATTCGTGGTTCTTTTTTGTATTTTGAAGACGCTTTCTTGCTTCATCACTTAGTAGTTTTTTTAAGGGTCCGAAAAAGAGAACATGACACAAATCAAACTGAAAAATCTCGTTCATTCAATGGAATGACATGAAGAGATATGTTAATATCAAAGCTCACAACTTTTACCTGCACATGTGCAAAGCTACAGCGACAAATAGGAGAAGAGTATGTTCTGCTTAGTGATGTGAAAAAGTGTAACCACAAAGAGATCTCTCAACACAGATTACAATGGGTTCAACCAAACCCCTTGTATCCAAAAAATTTTAAAAATACTTCCACTTTGAAGACAAATGATATTATCTTCCAGTATCTTGGTTTTCCTTTCTACAAGGAGAGAACAGAAGGATTTAGAGGAAAACTAGGAGAGCAAACCTTTCCATTGCGTCTAGCATCAGAATAAGGCACATTGCGAACCAGAATAATCCTCCATAAACCAACCCTATTCCTGCTGTCCAAGAGACTAGAATTCTTCAAGGATGCCTCTGTTTCTTCATCAACAAACATATAAAAGGGAACATTTTCTCGCGCAATTTCACCAGCGTTCTTTGGCTGTTGAATCACATCATAATTTCCTGTAAGAGCGTTTATGTATATACTAGTAAGAGATAAAAAATCACATTGCTGCCTGATGCAAACACCACAATATTTACACATTTTCATGCTTCTTGAGCAGCCACAACATAAAGGATACCTAAGCAGACTAGAGAGAATAAGCACTCCTCGGTAATTCTGCAGGAGATGCATCATATGCTAATATGTTGCATTGTCTAAAACTCCAAGACAATGTCAAACTGATTAAAGATTAAAAAGTCCAACTCATGAATCATGTGTACAAAATTTTAAATCGCACATTCCTACCGTCCAAGGTACTCTAAGATAAAGTATGTAAGGGCGAAATTGGAAAAGGCCTATACGCGTCGTGTTACAAATGCCCCTATGTTGTGGGTTGGGGGGAAACAATATGAAGTTATACTTACATTGGATACTGCATACTCCATCGCTGTGGTTTTACAGGGTCATATTTACCTCCTTGTGATAAGGATATAAGGCTACTTACCCCCTCGTGCTCTGTAAAATATTGCGAATTATTCTCACCATTAAGGGATGCTTAATATCGTTAAGAGATATTCTTTTTTATTCAACCACCTAAAATTGGTAAATTGTCTGAAAAGTGTCTTAACAGGATTAATGTTTCACCGAACCATTTAAAATCAACCTCTCATGCATTTAAAATTTTGTTTCTGATGTTCTAAAAGTTCCCCTGAAAATAATTAATACAATATGTTTCAGAATTTATAGTAATATTGTGTAGATTTTGATATTTTGCTAGTTCTTTTATAACTGGGTTTAGCTTTATGGAGAGCACTAGAGCTCTTAGAAACCTACATAAATAATACTGATATTTTGGAGATATAAGTTTTACCATTTGTACTTTTAGGAACTTGAAGTTGAAGATCAACATAAACCAAATGAAAGAGTATGTGAGCTTGAATATGGAGTAAAAAAAGTCAGACATAATAATGCCTGTAAGAGACTTAGAGATTGTTTGGATTGAGGGATAAGGATGTTTATCCTGGTATAAGATTAAGTATTAGTTATACAACGTCTGGATTTCGATATAAACTCTGCATTTCGAATATAATCTCCGTGTAGCTAATACAACATTTGACTTCCGACCGTCGTATTATTAGTACCGCTTAATATAGGCAATTCCTACATAACAACCTCTACTTATTCACCTTATATTAAATCATGCATAATTATTCATTGGGTAACAACCCCTAAATTATCATTCAGTGCATAAGGAATCCTTGTATATGCATAAATAAATCATAAGCCAAATGACCCTTACTAGTAACAGTTTAATCTTTTAACAAAATAGAAAGAATAATGGTATTACTCATGATTTAACTGAGAGGAGATCATTCGCATAATGTTTCATACAAGAACTAGGTAATTGGTTATCTCCTCATAAAGCGGAGGGGTAATACACAAGTTGCTAAAAACAGGTAATAGCAATGGCTGTCTGAAGCTGCTATTTCTTGACTTATATTATATGTTTTGAGTCTACAACAGGGGGTCACTCTGAAGGAGGTCTAGTCCACTAAGGGTGGAACCCAACTTTAAGAAGATTATTACATAGACTGGGAGGTGTCGAGGATAAAGAGTCTTTTAATACATTGGAGCAAAGCAAGGGGCTGCAAGAGGGTATAGATACACTGAGATGGCAAAATCATTCCAGTGGAGTTTATACAGTTAGTCAGCTTATAAAAATTTGAACCGGGTAAGAACCTCAGCAAACACTTTGGCCATGGAAACACATTTGGAAAGTCAGGGTGCCATATCAAGTGGCATGCTTTACATGGTTGGTAGTTAGAGAAGCTGCTCTGACTCAGGACAATCTCAGAAAAGGGGGAATACAACTTTGTTCAAGATGTTACTTGTGTGGGCAGGATGCAGAGGCAATCAGTTATCTGCTTTTACATTGCTGAACTACTAGACAGCTATGAGATTTGTTCATCAATCTCAGAGGTATAAAATGGGTAAAGCCTGGTAGTACTTCTAAAGTTTTGACATGCTGGAATATAGGGGGAAATTGTGACAGGAACAACGACAGATGGAAAATTGTCCCGGCAAACATTTGGTAGACAATATGGAAGGAAAGGAATTCAAGGTGTTTTGAAGATACAATCAGTACTCTACAGAAGATCAAGATGAATTGTGTTTTTCCCCTTTGTTTTTGGTGTAAATCTGAATACACAGATGATCCTGAGGATATTTTGGATGTATTAGGTTCCTCGTAAGAAGAACAAGGTTTTAGTTTCATACTATTTTGGTTCACTGCTGTAACAACCTATTTTGGTTTCCAGGACAATCTTTGTGCTGATGTCTTTATACATACAGAAACATGTTACCATTCTCGNTTTTAGTTTCGTACTATTTTGGTGCTCTGCTGTAACAACCTATTTTGGTTTCCAGGACAATCTTTGTGCTGATGTCTTTATATATACATTAACATGTTACCACTCTCAAAAAAAGTAATATGTAATAAATCCTTTTTATAATTAATAAAACTTGGTTAATAAAAACAAGAAGGAAGAATCTAAGGACGAGTTCATAATATTCTCTGTTATTTCAAAGGCTTGGGTTTCCGACAAATGGAGTTCAAGGAAATGGATTGGACATGATCTCTAATTCAGAGGAGAGGATAGGGATTCTAGTAAAGAACATATGGACATTGATAGATTGTATTGATACCTATTGAAAACAAAAGTTAGAAGTAATAGTAAAATGTACTGTTGCCTCTAACTTTTGTTTCTAATAGATATTAATACTTCTCAGCTTTCTCAGAATGTTTTTTTTAGTGAACGGTAACAAGTTTTATATATCAATGCACAAATACTGTGCCAAAATCATATGTACAGAAGAAGAGCAAAAACATATCATTTGCAATTTACAGAGCTTCCAAAATTTCTAGGATAGCTTCAGTATCCACTAAGGTTTCTTCTTTATACCAAAAATGGAACAACAAAAGGGAGTTCATCTTGATTTTCTGAATATTATCATCCATGCCTTCAAAATGTTTCACATTATAAAATTCAAATATTAAAAAGCAGAAGAGTGTGTTTGGTATAAATGTATATATCGTGCCCAGGTTCATGTGGGATCACAATAATTTTAACATTTTGAAAAATATCATATCGCAGACCCTACTAATTTGGGATTGTGGCGTAGTTGATAAATATAAGTATAATACTCTTACCAGCTTACATACGACTCTATGTAGTTTTGCTCATGTATGAAACACAAACAGCAAATCATAAAATGGACCGCCTACTTTGGTCATTTAAAATAGGTATAATACACATAGGACATGTTCCAACACCACCACTTAGTCTCTCCCTATTCTTTGTTACCCATTATTCACATATTATCTTTTCCATATCTCTAGCAAATTCAAATATCTACATCATACTTCTTTTAATCTTTGCTAATGACAGTATTATATAAATTAGGATGAAGAGGAGGATCTACACCTGCGAAAATTTTGCTTAATCAATAACGGAGAATGAAAAGATCAAAATAAGGGGTGCATACAAACTTGCAAATTCTCCTAGTAATTTGTTTCTTAAGATGGAGCTAGGTGGCATAGATGGGAGACAGCTAAGAAGTGCCTGATTATCTCTCATGCATCAGTGCAGTACGTAGCTAAGTATCTAGTAACATGTACCTAAAACCTAAAATATGACAGCTTCTTCAGCAGATCTGTATTTCTCTTAACGTTCCCAGTCCAATAGGTAGATGAAAATTCTTGTGGTTTTCATACTAGTCACTTCTAGCTTGGCTACATTGTCTGGCCCTTTATTACCTTATAGATGTACTAACATAAATTTAAAAAAATAGTGGGTAAAAAAGATGAAATATCAGGAGCATAGCTTATAGAGTACCAAATATGGCTGATGCAACAATGACTTCATGGAATTGCTCCATCTCCTTTAGATCAGCTGCATTGATGTCAAATCCCGTTCGATCACCAGGTCTACAACCTTTGACAAATCTGACCCAAATATATCAGCGATGGGAAAACTTTGGAAAGAGGACAAAGCACTAAAGCCAACAAAAACACAAGTCACTGTGTCAAGATGATAAGTGCAACTTACCCGCAGTGCACAGTCATCGACTCTTTTATGTCAAAAGAAGCATTCCTCTCCTCCAAAGAAGGGTACCCACCAAATTCAGAACCCCCGTGAGGTTCAGTCTTCATGGGAATTTGCTCATGGAAATAAGTTAAATGCTGAAGCCCGGGTGACGGTGATGGGACTCTAGGCATACGAGCTATCGCTTGCTCCACAGGAACGTAGCATACAGGACATGCTGAATCAAAACGAAAGACAGTATAACCAAGAGTACGACATTACGTGAAGTGTTGATTAAAGCAAAAGATAAAATACAAATGCATGAGACCAAATAACAAATAGGATCCAAGTCTGAAACAGATGAGTTTTATACTTACGGCGAGGCCCAATTCGCCTCCTATCACCAGGTGGAGGAGGGGGAAATGCAAAGTTTTGACAAGGATCAGGAAAAGCAATGGAATCTTTAGCCAATATCACAGTTGAAGCATTGGGAGGAGGCAGCTGGGCAGTATTCTCACCACATACCATAACCTTCCTGGGCAATAATGCAGATAGATGATATGTGTTGTTTTCAAACCATTCCTTGAAGTCCAATTCAGAACTCCTTGATGCATCATCTAATAATAGCAAAAATCTTGTATGAAAATCAGGAAATCTATCTCATAACAAACTAGATTAGTGACTTCAGAACTAAGTAAAATGCATTATATAACTGGTGGTGGTTTTGCCGCTTTTCACAAAAGAAATGAGGAGACAAGCACCAGTGAACCACACCTACCATACCATTCCTTTTTCTCTTTTCTGGACATGAAATAGATCGATACTCCAAAAACGCTCAAAAGAAGAAAGACAAAGTAAGAGCAAACTAACAACTTCGATGCAAATCTGTGACTGCAGTACTGAGACAAACAACTATGACTCTATTTAGTGCTGTTCAACAGGGGATAGATAACTACCCATTCCGGCACCCTATCCCAAGGAAATAAAATGATAAAAGCTTTAATTTTATTATCAAATCATTATTCCCATTAACAAGTGAAGAGATATTAACTTATGACTTCTTCCAAATAGGGCCCCTTACAGAGCAGGCACTCGAATTTAACTATATATTTAGCAAGCACTGGGCTTATCCATGTCTCGCCTTATTTGTTTTATTTATTTATTAAATTTCAAATTGATTTTAGGTTACACTGATAGAGCCGATGGTAAAGAACAAGGCGTCATGCTTTTCTTCAATAAATTAAAAGTTACAACATCAGAAGCCAACATACAGTAAAAATCCATTGCTCTCAGAATCAAGTCCCATTGAAAATGAATAGACTTAATTCTGTTCATTGCAGTTGCTCAACCTTGTCTCCCTAATTCCTTTCTCAGCAAGCTGCATCTTATGTATCTTGTGCAGGTGTATTAATACCAACATTTTCATTTTAAATGTTGTTTCCTTCACCTATCCACAATATACAATTTGGTCCTCCTAAGAAAGATACTAGAGCCGACAATGCATGCCACCCTTTCAGAACAATTAAAGTTACTAAAGTTTAAAATATAAATAGATCCCTATCCAAATGATAGATCCCTATCCAGATGATATTCCACAACAAAGAAACCAAAAGGACTTCAAGAAACTGACCTTTATTAACCATCGAAAATCCTGCAACAAAAGCCAAGAGTGCAAATGCAACCAAAATCAGCATTCCAACCTGCCTTCGCACCAAAAACCTGCAAATAGAGGGAAGACATCTTTCCTTCTCTCTAGAACCGGAAAGTGATGTCTTTGGAGTTTTACGCGAGCTGAACGAACTCTGAGAGTGCAAAACTCCATTTTGTGCCAGTTGCTGCAACGACCCATCGCTTGCTGTCCGAAGACCCAATGACCACCCAGTCATTGTTCCTCCGACCACACAATAACAACTACTTTCATCTCTTTTTTCCTTCTCCAAAAAACCCTTTCATTAACTATACACCACAACTCTTCACAACGTAAAACTTGTCAAAGTAACACTTGCAATTACTGTTTCATCTCTGCATCTTTCTGAGATCGTCAATGTTGTGCTGGGGGCTTCTTTAACCGAATCAGTAGGAATATTTCCGCCTTTTGCAGCACCAAATCAATCAGAAAGCGAATTCGATACCTATACTATAATAACCAAACAACACATCATTAACTAAGTCTAACTCCAATTAAATAAGGTTTCTAAAGAAGTAACAAATTCTCCATGTCATGATCTCAAAAGCAGAACCGAATAACTAAAACCAATCACAAACTAATTCAATGAGAAGAGAAATCGCCTGATTTACTAATGAATTAAAATTAAAATGATACTCCAACAAAGATACTACTGATACGTCATGGATAATGCAGTAGAAAACTTTGTAACAGAATTCGCATCTGGAACGGAACAGATCAATTCGACTATGAAAACGATTAGCCCAAAGAGGAGGTTTAACGATTATATTACCTGAATCAGAAGTCCAATTTCAAAATTTTCTGACTTGTTGTAGAATCCAATAGGGCTTGAAAAGGAAAAGGGAGAGCATAAAAAGTTTCCTATTTGGGGCTGCTTGATCTTCTCTCTCTCTACGCCTCTTCCTCCTCGGCCTGTTTCTATTTTATTCCCTTTTGGTCTTATTTTTTTGCAAAATTTGATGCGAGTTCATACTCTTGTTTTAATATCCCTTTTGTTTTGCACCCGAAAAAAAAGAAGAGAGAGATCACCACAAGTCTAATCGCATCGCTTTGGGGACTTAAAAATTCCAGTCCTAGAATGCGACTTGTAGAAACGTAAGTGCGATATAAATCTCATTGCGACTATAAGTCTCGTTACGTGAACGCGACTTATTAATCTCATTGCGACTATAAGGGTATGTTTGGTATGGAGGAAAATATTTTTCGAAAAATATTTCCAATTTTCTCATGTTTGGTTGGCTTAAATGTTTTGAAAAATATTTTACTTATCAACTCATTTTTTTCCAATTGGAGGAAAATATTTTCCTTATAAAGAGAAGGGAAAACATTTTCCAAAACTCTTTCTCAACGTTCCCCACCCTATTCCATACCCTCACAACCTACCCCACACCCACCCACCTAACCCCACCCCATGCCCTCTCTCCAGAAAGGTTTTTTTTCCATT